TCTCTCTCTCTCTCTGTCAGATAAATAAGTAAAATCTTTTAAAAAAAATATCTATATATATATATAAAGATGTGAAATATAGCATATGTTGTAAAATTCTTAAGTTTTAGCTTGGGTAATTGTGAATGGTGACGCTCTTTGCCAAGGTAATATAGAAGGAATAGGGCTGGAAGAAAGGTTAATATTGAGTTTGAGGTTCTTATAGGTCATTAAGGCAGAGAGGAATAGTGATCAGTTCTTTATAGGGGTCTGAAACTACAGTTGTGGACTTTAATCCCTTGAGTGCAAGTATTTTGGCTTCTGTCTCATCAGCATTTTGCTCAATCTGAGATGCAGTGAGCACTTACTACACTTTGCTGGAATTGAAAGCAATAGCAAGCATGTAAGGAAAGATAAATCACCAAGGAGAGAACCCTGAGGAACACCAACACTTAGTGGGCAGGAAAAAAAGAAACTAGCAAAGAAGACTTGGAAAGGAAGGTTTAAGTTAGGTGAGACCAGGAATGGAGGTAAGGGTGTGGGGCATTATGGAAGCTGGAGGAGAATATTGAGGGATAGTTGGTCCTGTATTGTGCCACTGGGAGATCATTAAGAATAAAGAGGCTACTAGAATTAATCTTTGGTAGTCATTGGATCTTTAAAGAAGTTTTGGTGGATGCCAAGTAATGTTTGTTTAGTTATATTCAATTGGTGAATGAGCTGAAGAAGTCAAGGCAATGAATTATTTAAGTATCTTGCATGACAAAAGGAAATTGGTCAGTGCTTTCCCTTATTTGAGAGATTTTAAGATGAGTCTTAAAATATTTGTGGATTCTGGGGACGTACCTGTTAAAGAGGTCGAAGTTTGAGTAGTAGATGGAACCTGGTCTTAAGAATGCAGGTTAGAAATACTAGCCTTACACAATTAAAAGTGACCTCTCTTAGGCTTGTTTTTGTGTGTGTTTGTTTTTTAAGATTTTATTTATTTGACAGCACAAGCAGAGGGAGAGGGAGAAGCAGGCTCCCCACTGAGCAGGGATCCTGATGTTGGGCTTGATCCCAGGACCCTCGGATCATGATCTGAGCTGAAGGCAAACGCTCAACCGACTGAGCCACCCAGGCACCCTACTCTCTTAGACTATTGTTAAGTAGAAATGTTGAGCTCCTTGTCATGAAGAAAGGAAACAGAAATGTACAGGATAGCAAGCCTTGGAAAAGTAGGAAACCAAGGTTTAAATGGTAAAGGTTTGAGTTGAAGAATGAGGGAAGGAGCTCAGTTGCAGGTATAAAAGGATTACTGATCAGCATTCAATGCACAGCTGAATTGAGAGCATGATCTTGTAGTGGCACCATCTGTATGATTATGTACTACTTCCAGTACTGTTCTTCAGCTTGAATGGAGGAGAAAGAAGAGGTTGGATAGTCCTGGCAGGAGTAAATACATCAATGAATTGAGCCCAATTAGAGTAGGAAATAAAGCCAAAAGGACTGAAGAGAAGAGCATGGTCAAGGGACTAGAGGTCTTTGTGGCACCAAAGAAAGGGCATAATGGGAATAAAGCCAAGATTTAGATATGAAAGACCAGGGCATTGAAATTTAAGATTTTAGGAGTAATGCAGCTTGCAGTGTTTGGAAATGGCTGTAGTAGATCGCTGAATTAGAATGTATATGAAAGTTACTGGAGTTGAAAAATTTAAAGAATTTTTGTCTAATTTATTGAATGGACTGTGTACAGAAGATATCCCTAGTAGAACTGGGTATAAGGAGACAGAGTCAAGTGCTGAAGTCCTTAATTAAGAGGTTTGTCAGGGAGCATGCTTCCAGGCTATGTGGGACATGTAAGGATTTGGGGGAAGTAGTTTCTTGTATCCTCTTGGCCCAGAAGTCTTGGGAGATCCGGATTCAGTTAAGGTTTCAGAATACAAATTTGTGAAGTAGCAAACAGCTCTAGAGATAACTCTTTAAAGAACATAATAGAATTGAAATGCTTAAGCAGAAGTCAGGGAGAGGAATTAGAATAGTAAGAATGGAGATAGTAGGGAGAGGGCATTTATAGTGACCAAGAAGAGAGAGAAGCTTTGAATACTTCAAGACCAAGGCTACAGTCTAACAAGAATCTGCTGTTTCTAGCTCTCCCAGGCCTAGTCCCATGTATCAGATCTGCTAATGATAGTAACAGTTAATACTTGTTGGCTGCCACTATGTGCTAGACTGTGCTTAAGAGCTTTCCTTGTATTTCCATTTATTGTTAACATCAATTCTTAGGTGCTCATATTCTCATTTTAAAATGAAATTGAATAAGATGAGGAAAGGCTAAGTATCTTGCCTAGTATGTGGCATAGCCGAGAGTTGAAACTATGTTCATTGACTCCAGAGCTTGTATATGCCTTTATTTGGAAAACATAGGCTGCCAAATGAAGTAACAAGTTGCTCGGTGTCTTTATTTGGAATGATGTAAAAAAATGTCGTGGTAGCTGAAGAGAATTCTCCCCCAGGCGATTAGTATATGATTTGTAAATGGTATTTTTAATGTTATATACACATATATATTGTCTGTTGTTGTTTACGGTTAATATTGATTCCAAAGGGGGAAAAAAAAAAGAACTTCTGGCATCAAGTCTGGCACCATGAAGAAGGTAGCTGTGTTGATGAAGGTAGGGAGCACAGAAGAACAAAGGGCTTACTACTAGGGATTTTTGCTGCAGCTGTGTATTCTTAAGCCAAAGAAGCTAAGAGAAAGGAAAATAAGCAGTTGTGGAGGGGTTGAATGGATTCTGACCAGCTAGCTCTCTTCTCACTCTATAGTCGGTGTGTATTGGGAGCCCTATAATTAAACTAGTAGATGTTTTGTTTGCTGCCATTTCAGCTTCCAGGTTCTTGTGTTCCCTCAAAGTAACTATGGGCATGTCAAAAGGATGTTCACTATGCAAGCTGCCCTTAAAACAGCCTTTAGTACTACCATCCCTAGATCCCCTAAAAACCCCTGTCACCCAGGGGTTTGTTGGAGAAGAGGAATGGGGCATCAGGGTGATAATGATAGCCCTCATGTGCTGTGGTCCCTCTACAGCAGTGAAGTGTTTATGTCACTAGACTTTTGAGGACACAGAGTAGCTTTCAAACTATTAAGGAGCAGATCACACCAGGAAATTCTTCACTGGAAACAGGTACCTAAGAGTCACCCCTAAAAGGAGAGTGCCCCCCTTCTCACCAAGCCAAAATAGCCCCTTTTATGTGGAGGCTTCAAGATGTTAACCAACACCTAAACACAGATAGGAAGGGGGATGGGATATACAGAGAATCTCTTACATATTTGGAAAAATATTTCGGCAATCAATACAGTCCAAATATTCAAGTCATTTTGGCAATTCTTATCTGTCACCTCCAACCCTAAAACACAGTTACCTAGTAAACACATTATATTTACTTATTTGAAAATTTCAAAGCAATCCTTAGAAGTGTTTACTAAACCTACTTAACAGCTTCTTAAAGCTGGAGCATTACAAAGTTTTTCTCAAGTATATAAGCCCTCAAAGGGAATTTTCTCATCCCATGACGGCATTTGGGTGGTGGTCTAGCCTTATTTAGGCAGTTTAAAACGAATTCTCAAGCCCTGCCCCATAAGAGGAAAAAGTAACAACCTTTTTATAGATGAGGACAGTGACGTGGGGAAATGAAATGACTTGTAATAGTAAACCTACAAAACAGGTCTGACCCCTCGCTTAGAATGCTTTCTCTACTGTCCTGTTGGCTGGAAGTATTGCAATTTCAAAGCAGAAGGATGAATGTGGAGAGTGTCAGGATTATATGGTGAAATTTATCATTGCAAATATGGAAGGCAGTGCAATATACTTATGAGTAAATAAGGCAAAATTCTAAGTTCTGTCACATGTTGTGGCATATGTTGATGTCTTACACTTTAAAAATAGGTTTCTTAATGTAGCCTACATGTTACCAGTATAAAATGAGGAACTGAAGCAATTCTAAAATCTTGATCCTACACCAGCTCCCCAGCCAAAGTTGATGAGCCAGAAGTATGAGAGGCAACAGCTGTTCTGCTAGAAGTGAAATGACCAGAAACATCCAGAATGTTCAATGTAATGGTGTGAGCCTTTCTACCACAAAATGGTGGGTTGTGTGTAATCACTGAGATTTTAACAGTGTTATTCTTTCTCTCTAAGCCAGTATTCCCAACAATGAGAGAAAAATTGAATTTTGATTTTAAAACTGTCAGCAGAAACCCAGTCCTATAGGATGTATACATTTTTTTTCTTTCCCTTTTCGTTGACCAAGCACTTAACATCTGTGTAGGCAGCTTTTCTCAGAAGTACAACACTAAAGCGAAGGGCAGACATGCTCCATTTGTCAGAGCTTTCAGGTCTTTGGTACATTGAATTGGGCTGTCAGGGGAGCAACAGTTAAAGTACTGAGCTCAAAGACCCTAGAAGGGAGGCTTGGGAAGCCAAAGACTGAAATCTGGCGTTATCTATCTCATATGGGCAATAGATTATATTTAATAAACAATTGTGTCAGACCTCTGAGTTCATTATATGTCAACTCATTTAATCACAACCATAGAAAGGAAGTAGCTGGTATTGGAGGTAATTGTCAACGTTTTTATTCAGATGTCACCACCTGACTCATCTATTCTGAAAGACCCATGTGCTCTTACTGAGGTTAAACCTAGAATACTGCTTGAAGGAAAATTTAAATTGTAGTTACAATGGTAGATATGTGCGTGTACACATACACACATGTATACCTTCAGAGAAAGTAAACATTGTAGTAGATTTCATAATTCTGTTAGAATGGGAAGAAAGACCATCTGACCATTTTGATTTGGTAAAATCTGCATCTAAATCCTGTTATTACTTTGCTTTCCCATCTTTATCAGAGGCCATGTTCATATTGACTTCACAAAAAAAAATTACGTACACTCCTTTTCAGCAAACGTATGCATGTTCTATTCAATAAATATTCAGATGTTTTTTAAGTACTTGTCTCTCAGAGCTTATTTTTTTAATTAGATGATTCACTTGTAGCTGCCAGCATTTGTATTTCTGACTACAGGTTTGTCAACCTTTGCTGGAATGAAGTTGGTCTCGGAGTGAAATTGGATGTGCACCTAACTTACATGCTGCATATAAAACAAATGAAAAAGTGGATGTGTGAGTGTGTGATGGTCAGATACTGAGTTGCACAGGAGTAAGAGGCCACAAGATGGCAAGCTAACATAGGAAATGTGTAGAGCTAAGATCTAGAAATTGAACTAGAAATTACTTTTCCATTTTTTATTTATATGCTATAAAGGACATAGCCTAAGATGTGGTCATTTATATTTTTGAGTACTTACGATAAATTGAACAGTTACTGAAGTACAATTTTGAAAATTGGAAATGACTATGATGTATATTTTTTAATAGACCACCATTTGTAATGAAACAGGCTAGAGTCACCTTGCATGTATTACATATATTTTTAACTTTCCATAAAGCACCAAAAAATCTTGTTTTGACAGCAAGGTAGTCACACTGCTACCTCTACATGCAAAGGAGACTTGGATATGTGTATTTTTTTTTTAGCTAGGCACATTGTCATTGCCAACAAAATCAGAATTTAATTGACCACTAAGGTAAAAAAAAAAAACAGAACAGTGCAGCACAGTTGGTTATTATATGGGATGCCAATATTCCAAAGATCTTTGAAACAATTTTGTACAGAAAACTTCTGAACAACTAGATTTGGAGTTAAAAAAATCCTGTATTCTTACTCCATCACTTCATGTAATATTAGGCAAGTCACTTTATCATTCTGAGTTGTACTCTTCTCATTATAAACATTTTAAAGATTTCTTCCATTCCACAATACCATGATTTTTTTAGTTCATGCAACAGAGAGTATAAGATTCATGGTTATGTTAATTGTTGCTGAGCTACTTCTGTGGGTTAAGCCTTGAGGGTACAATGGCAAAGGACATGGCTCTTGCCTACATTCAATATGCTCATAATTTAGAGAGGGATACAAATGCACAAGCAAATTATATAGGGATAAGTGATATAATAAAGCCATGTATTGTTAATTACAATATCTAACATTTTAAAAATCCATTTACCAACGCTTTGCATGGATCATCTTTGGTTAACAACCTATGACATAGGTATTATTTATCCCGATTTTACATTTTTTTAAAAATGCTCTCTGGTAGAAATATTTGATCCAAGCCTTGAAATGAAATTAGATTTCTCAAGGTGGAGAAAAGAATGAAATTATAGAAAATATTAAGTACCTTCCATGTTATTACAATGCTATGATTATAAAGAAGATAAATCTTGGGACGCCTGGATGGCTCAGTTAAGCATCTGCCTTCAGCTCAGGTCATGGTCCTGGGGTCCTGGGATCGAGTCCCGGGTCGGGCTCCTTGCTCTGTGGGGAGTCTGTTTCTCCCTCTGTCCCTCCCCCTGCTTGTGCTCTCTCTCTCTTTCTCTTTCTCTCTCTCTGACAAAATCTTAAAAAGATAAATCTTGTTATAATCAGTTCTAGGGAACTGCCTAAATTGTTTAAAGAGGTGTCTTAGTATTGTACATGAAATTTGTTTTTTAAGGTAATTCTCTATTAGAGATCTTTCTATGGTATCAGGTTTATATAGTGAGATAACCAGTACCAAGTCTTATTTTGCCATTGCCCAGTATATGTTCTAGGTATGAGAACCATAGAATCTTGGAGAGTTAAAAGGAAATTTGGAGGTCATTTAGCTATACCTGCTGTACAATTCAGGAATATTCTTGATCATCGCTCTGAGGGTTCTCACTACTTTATTGTGCAGTCATTTCATTTTGAGGTAGTTCAAATTAATAGAATATTTCTATATTAGATAAAATGTTTATCTCTTTGATGTTCACCAATACTGGTTCTGAAACATTGGAACATGTAACAAGGTATTTCTCTTTTCAGGATTGGGAAAATCATTCCCTATAGTCTGGACACAAACTTCTAACACAAGATTAACTTGTTTTCAATAGTCTTATACTACACTTTGCTCATTTCTAAGGTGTAAGCTTAAACTCCAAGGACTTTATGTCATGAACTAATATCAATCCTTGTCTCGTATTAAAATTTTAAATCTTGATACAGAATGGCTACTTGTTCCATTTCATCGGACTTGTTCTGAACAAAATTCTGAGTTATTTTAATCATGTTTTATGTCTGGCATTCAACATACTGGTCATTTCTTTTGTCTTCAGTAGATATAAGCGTATCTTCTGTGTCTTCATCCTAATCACTAACATGAATGTAGTCAGGAACTATTTTTGGCTATAAGTAAAAGAGCCTAACAAGGCAATGGCTTACATCAGGTAGGAGTTCTCTCTCACATAACAACAAAAACAAAAGCATGGAAATAGGCAGTTCAGAGTTAATATGGCAGTTCCATGACAGATGGCAGCAAATGTCCCAGGAGCTGTCTTTGTTTCTTCATGCATAAGGTCATGCTTCCATCCTCAAAGTCGCCTCATGGTAGAAAGATGTTTACTACAGCTCTAGCTATGATGTCTCAGGCAGGAAGGGGCTGGGGAGTAAAAAGATGCATTCAAGCTAGGTCAGCCCTACTTTTTAACTTCTCCCCAGAGCATCGGTCAAAAAATCTTGTTTTGACAAGAAGATTTCACACTGCTACTTTTACATGGAAAGATACATGGAAAGGAGACCTGGAAATGTGACTTTTTAGCTGGGGACATTGCCACCTCCAACAAAATCAGAATTCTTTTAGGTGAAGAAGAGTAAATGGGTGGGTAGACAGAAGAAGCAGCAAGAGGAACAGATTTTTTTCCCAAGAAACCTTGAACTCCTAAGTACCAGGGACCTAAGCTGTGGGGATACAGGATACGAAAAGATGAATAAGACAACCTTCACCTTAGCCACAGTGAGTAGTTTTTAATGTCATCATCAAATTAATCTAATTAGAAGCTGTTTTCTCTGAGACTGGTTTATCACATTTGCTAGTCTTCCATAGAAAGTCAAATCTCAAGTTACTGCACTGACTCTCCTTTGAAATAAATGCTTTATAAATGAAAGCACTTGTTTAACCTAATGACTAATACTTCTTTTAGTTATAAGGGATTGATGACCATCAATTTAGTTAGTGAAATTTTTATAGCAAGAAAGTGAAAATGGGATTGCTTAATATTTGTCTCCTCTGGACCCAGTCTATTGCACAGAGTTCAACAGTGACCTTTTTCTAAAGGATAGAAAACTAGAATCCACTTCTTCAATTTCCTCTTATGCTGTACAGACAATTCTATACCACAGCCATCTGTCCATTTCGACTGACGGCATTAATGTCTGAAAAACATTTTCAAGACAATTAACAGAAGTCACATATATTACTTTTCTCTGAACAATTATTTTTCCTTTTTAATATAAAATTAAATCTCCATAGTAGGGGAAGGATGAGATACTTCACCTTTAAGTAGATGGGAATGTTGACCTATTTGGGTAACATACAGAATTCATTTTACTTTGCTTTCAAACAATATATGGATACATCACAGCCTTTTAAAAAGTAATCTTTACTTAGAATAGGAAAATATCCCTGACACAGTGGAAACAAGATAGGTCTGTGGAAAGTTCTCAGAACTCCCCACAATCACCATTGTACGTTACAGCTGAAGGAAGATTTGCTCTGTGAGAAAAGACCCAATTTTATACTAAAGAAAGAGCTTCTGGTAGGTTTCTCCCAGAACACCTCCCTTGGGATTTTGTCATAAAATCCAAAAGAATGCTGACACTTTTTGCCTTTACATGCTCCACCACTGGTTTGTTCTTTCCTCACCAATTTTTTTTACAGAATTGGGACACACCCTCTCTTTTGTGCTCTGCAGTATTAAATATACAAACAAAATATAAACTAGGAATAAGTTGGCATCAATATTTGGGGAAGGTGTGCTATGCATGTGATGGGATGGGGCACTTTGGGCTTTTAATTGCTTTATTTTCTTTATTAAAATTTTAAGAACAAAAATAATATGTGAAACAAAAGATTTATAAAGAAAAAATTCACCTCTCCTTTATCGTAACCAATGTTGAGATCCTTCCACATCTCTCCCCCTAATCACACAAACACTCTATACGTACACACGTGTCAAAGTTAGGATGCTCAACGCCTAAAAAGGGAAGAATAAGTACAAAAGATGTGTCCTACCTCTCTTTTTTTAATTGTACAGGAAATAAATGTATGAAGAACATGGTTTTTATTAGGATTCTTCCAGTTGCAAGATACAGAAACCCTATTTAAACCAGTTCAAGCAAAAATGGGGAAATTATCTTTCATATAACTAAACTGCAGAAAGCATGGGTGGAAGGGGTAGTGGGGAGCCTGTGTCAGGGACAGCAGGACTGAAAAGTTCAAACATCCTCAGGTCTTTGCCTTTTTCTCCTCTCCTCTTAACTTTTCAGTCTTTCTGTCTTGAGGAAGTTGGTTTAATTTCCTTGGGAAGACTGGAACCATAGCTACTTGCAACCCTAGGCATTCTTTCATACAAGCACTTGAAAAAGAAAAAAAATTCCCTCCAGCTCCAATGAGAAGAAACCCTGTGGCCACAGACAAAATCTGTAGCCAGAAAGATTTTGGGGTTGAGTGCTAGAAAGCCAAACTACCTGCAGGTCAAGAATGGCTTGAATGAAATTAAGAAGATGTCTGTTTAGTGATCTGGGCAGCCTCATGAGGTGAGAAATTGGTTTAAGGAAGAACCGCGGTTGATCGTTAACTCTGCTTCTGCTAGATGTAGATCCCTGAAAGAAAGTGACTGAACTTGGGGGTCTCACTTTCTTCATCTCTAAGGTTATCGTCTGCTTTCTGAGCACTAGTGGTGGAGGGGGGTCAAGTCAAGGGAGGTGACCCTGTCAATACAGGACATGGTGTGAGATGTGAGATACTACCCCCATCTTCACCTCCATGCTCCTCCATGAAAGTGGAGATTTTCTTGAGGCAGGAATTGTAGA